ATCTTTAGTAATATTAATTAATATTTTATATATTTTTATAATAAAAAAGACAAAAAACTTAAAATCACATCACAATGTAATTCTTTGAAACAAAGCCTTTATTTAATTGTCCTATTTACTAAATAAAAGTATTTTTGTATAGTTGTTTCACTTTTTATTTCTAGATGACATTAAATGCTCTTATTGTATATTTAGCTATTTACTCATATTACTCTAAATTATTTTTTTTTTGTCTAAGAATAATAATTTTTTTTGACTTTTTTCCTGATTAAGAATTTGTCTTTAAATTTATTTTTTTTATCAATATTATTTTAAGAAAAAGAGATAAATATAAGGTCAAATTTTTTGTGATATATAATAGATAATTAAAGTCAAGACATAACATAGGATTAAAAAAATATATATTTACCTTTTATAAAATATTTAAAATAACCTGAAACAAATTTTGAGTCAAATAGTGAAAAAGAAAAAGTCTAGTAATGATTGAGTGGAGGGATTCCATAAGTTCCATTAATGATAAAGACTTTATGCCACTAAAAATTCCTAAACTTTACCAAAAGAATCAATTCTATCTCTCTACTTTAAAAGAATTCATATATCCCTCAACTTTTGGAAAGGGCCCAGCATCATCGCTCCGGACATTCAACTGTTAAAACTTAAAATTCTCCAAAGTTTAATGGTAAAACAACAGATTGGTCTCTTAACTTTGAATTATTGTCCATGTTGATCCTCACACTTCAAATATAGAGTTTCAAACACAAATTATTGGGTTTTTAACTAGTCATATTAATAAGATTTTTCTATAATTATTGCAAATTTAGAATGAGGTAGCTAAGATACTTCATCCATGCATAACCCTTAGAAGGGCAAAAGGTGCAATTGAGCCCTTGTACTTATAATGTTGTGGCAAGTCAGCCCCTATACTTTAAACTATGGCAAATCGACCCCTCCACTTCATGAAATACTCAAACAACCCTTCTAGTAAAGCTGAAGTCATCCAATTGTTAAATCGTTCCATTGGCAATTAAAGTCTGATGAGTTTGACGCCAATCAAGAGTTGATTGGGCAGTCATGTAGACTAAATTCAATCGACCATGACTAAATTTACTTGAAATTAATCATGTAGCAAGTGATCTGTTAAGGCTTCCAAAAAGCAAATATGACGGGCACTATCTCAAATATTCGTTTAAAATAAATGACAAATGAGATCATCTTCAATTTTATAATTTATAATGTAAACA